GGAGCTCTCAGGGACGGCTCTGACCTCGCCCTGCACCAAAAACATGAAATCCATGGAAATCCTTCCCAAAAATCCATCCCAAACATGGAAATCCATCCCAAACATCCATCCCGAGCATGGAAATCCATGGAATCCATCCCAAAAATCCATCCCGAGCATGGAAATCCATCCCAAAAATCCATCCCAAAAATGGAAATCCATGGAATCCTTCCCAAAATCCACCCCAAACATGGAAATCCATCCCAAAAATCCATCCCGAGCATGAAATCCATGGAATCCATCCCAAAAATCCATCTCAAGCATGAAATCCATCCCAAGCATGAAATCCATCCCAAAAATCCACCCCAAACATGGAAATCCACCCCAAACATGGAAATCCATCCCAAACATGGAAATCCATCCCAAACATGGAAATCCATCCCAAAAATCCACCCCAAGCATGGAAATCCATGGAAATCCATCCCAAAAATCCACCCCAAGCAAGGAAATCCATGGAAATCCATCCCAAAAATCCATCCCGAGCATGAAAATCCATCCCAAAACTCCACCCCAAGCATGGAAATCCATGAAATCCATCCCAAAAATCCATCCCAAGCTTGGAAATCCATCCCAAACATGGAAATCCATCCCAAAAATCCATTCCAAGCATGGAAATCCATCCCAAAAATCCATTTCAAGCATGGAAATCCATCCCACAACTCCATCCCAAGCATGGAAATCCATCCCAGGCTTGGAAATCCATCCCAAAAATCCACCCCAAGCATGGAAATCCATGGAATCCATCGCAAAAATCCATCCCAAACATGGAAATCCATCCCAAAAATCCATCCCAAGCTTGGAAATCCATCCCAAAAATCCATCCCAAGCATGAAATCCATCCTAAACATGGAAATCCATCCCAAAACTCCACCCCGAGCATGGAAATCCATCCCAAAAATCCAGGAATTTTGTAGTTGATCGCTCCAATGTTTTTTTCCTAAATGCAGCTTCAAAATGAAAATCCACGAAGGGGGAAAATGAATTTAAAAATTAATGAATTAATTAATTAATTAATGGGAGGAAACTGAGCCCAATGGCTGCAGCCAGAAAATTTAAAATTTAAAAAAAATTAAAAGATTACATTTTAAATTGAAAATTTTCATGGAATTTGAAATCCCAGCTCAGCTCAAAGGATCCACCACAAATTTTAATATTTTTAAAATTCTTGTTTGCTGGAGCACCACAANGAATAGAATGGAATAAAAGGGAATAAAATAATAGAAAATGGAATAGAATGGAATAGAATGGAATAAAATGGAAAATGGAATAGAATGGAATAAAATGGAATAAAATGGAATAAAATGGATGAAATGTAATAAAAGGGAATAAAATAATAGAAAATGGAATAAAATGGAAAATGGAACAGAATGGAATAGAATGGAATAAAATGGAATAGAATGGAATAAAAAGGAATAAAATGGAATAAAATGGAAAATGGAATAGAATGGAATAGAATGGAATAAAATGGAAGAGAATGGAATAAAATGGAATAGAATGGAATAAAATAGATGAAATGAAATAAAAGGGAATAAAATAATAGAAAATGGAATAAAATGGAAAATGGAATAAAATGGAATAAAATGGAATAAAATGGAATAGAATGGAATAGAATGGAATAAAATGGAATAAAATGGAAAATGGAATAGAATGGAATAGAATGGAATAGAATGGAATAAAATGGAAAATGGAATAGAATGGAATAGAAAGGAAAATGGAATAAAATGGAATAAAATGGAATAGAATGGAATAAAATGGATGAAATATAATAAAAGGGAATAAAATAATAGAAAATGGAATAAAATGGAAAATGGAATAAAATTGAATAAAATGGAATAAAATGGAACAGAATGGAATAAAATGGAATAAAATGGAATAGAATGGAATAAAATGGAAAATAGAATAAAATGGAATAAAATGGAATAAAATGGAATAAAATGGAAAATGGAATAAAATGGAATAAAATGGAAAATTGAATAGAATGGAATAGAATGGAATAAAATGGAAAAAAATGGAAAATGGAATAAAATGGAATAGAATGGAATAGAATGGAATAAAATGGATGAAATGAAATAAAAGGGAATAAAATAATAGAAAATGGAATAAAATGGAAAATGGAATAGAATGGAATAGAATGGAATAAAGTGGAAAATGAAATAAAATGGAATAGAATGGAATAAAATGGAATAGAATGGAAAATGGAATAGAATGGAAGAAAATGGAATAAAATGGAAAATGGAATAGAATGGAATAGAATGGAATAAAATGGAATAAAATGGAAAATGGAATAGAATGGAATAGAATGGAATAAAATGGAATAAAATGGAATAAAATGGAATAAAATGGAAGTGTGGCTCCTGCCTCAGCCAAAAGCGCTGCAATTCCCAAATTTCCCTGGATTTGAGGAAAAGCAAAGCCCAGCCCCAATCCCAGCAGGAAGGGCCAAGCTGTGGGTCCATCCTGGCACATCAGGCTCAACAATTATTCCTGAAGGTTTTTTCCTTGGGATTTATATTTTTATATTCTGCTTTTTATTTTCAAATTCTGATTTTGTGCTGTAAAAAAAAAAAAATATATATATATATCCCAAGTAAAAAAAAACGTACAGAAATAATTTTCATCTTCAGGTGATGAACACAAAAAAATCAATATTTGAGAGCAGCAAAGCAGGAAAATGTGATTTAAAGCAGGGAATTTGTTCTGTTCTGTGTTAGGTGTGGGGAATAAAATCAAAAATGGGATTTAAAGCAGGGAAATTTGTTCTGTTCTGGGTGAGGTGTGGGAAATAAAATCAAAAATGGGATTTAAAGCAGGGAATTTGTTCTGTTCTGTGTCAGGTGTGGGGAATAAAATCAAAAATGTGAATTTAAGGCTGGACAGACTCACCAGGTCCTTCTGCTTCAGGCTCTGCACCAGCAGGTCCAGCCGGGCCTGGTCCTTGGGGGAGATTTCAACCTCGTACAGGCTGGAGAACACGCCCTGGAAACACACTGGGGACAGGGATGGGGTTGGGATTTCCATGGGATTTTCCAGGGATTTTCCATGGGATTTTCCATGGATTTTCCATGGGATTAAAAATGGGGATATTCGATTTTCCATGAGGATTTTCCATGGATTTTCCATGGGATTTCCCATGGGGATATTCGATTTTCCATGGGATTTTCCATGGGATTTTCCATGGAGTTTTTCCATGGGATTTCCCATTTTGAATTTCCCATGGGGATTTTCCATTGGGATTTTCCATGGGATTTTCAATGGGGATTTTCCATGGGGATTTTCCATGGGATTTTCCATGGGGATTTCCCATGGGATTTTCAATGGATTTTCCACGGATTTTCCATTTTCCATGGGATTTTCAAAGGGATTTTCCATGGGGAATTTTCCATGGGGATTTTCCATGGGGATTTTCCATGGGGATTTTCCATGAGGATTTTCCATGGGGATATTCAATTTTCCATTGGGATTTTCCATGGATTTTCCATGGGATTTCCCATGGGGATATTGGATTTTCCATGAGGATTTTCCATGGGGATTTCCCATGGGGATTTTCCATGGAGTTTTTCCATGGGATTTCCCATTTTGAATTTCCCATTGGGATTTTCCATGGGGATTTTCCATGGGATTTTAAATGGGGATATTCGAATTTCTATTGGGATTTTCCATGGGATTTTCCTTGGATTTTCCATGGGATTTTCCTTGGATTTTCCATGGGATTTCCCATGGGAATTTTCAATGGAATTTTCAATGGGAATTTTCCATGGGATTTTCCATGGGATTTTCCATGGGAATTTTCAATGGGATTTTCCATGGGGATTTTCCATGGGGATTTTCCATGGGGATTTTCCATAGGATTTTCCATGAGGATTTTCAATGGAATTTTCAATGGGAATTTTCAATGGAATTTTCAATGGGAATTTTCCATGGGATTTTCCATGGGATTTTCCATGGGATTTTCCATAGGATTTTCCATGGGATTTTCCATGGGGATTTTCCATGAGGATTTTCAATGGGGATTTTCCATGGGAATTTTCAATGGGATTTTCAATGGGGATTTTCCATGGATTTTCCATGGGGATTTTCAATGGGATTTTCCATGGGATTTTCTATGGGGATTTTCCATGGGATTTTCCATGGGATTTTCCATGGGGATTTTCCATGGGATTTTCTATGGGGATTTTCTATGGGATTTTCCATAAGATTTTCCATGGATTTTCCCTAGGATTTTCCATGGGATTTTCCATGGGAATTTCCAGGGAATTTTTGTTGGCTCTGGGAATGGGGTTTTCACACCCACCTTCGTTCTTGGTGTAATTTTTTTTCCCAAATGCAGCTTCTGGAATTTTTTTCTTCAGCTCAGACAAACCCATGACGTGTTTGATGTCCAGGCTGGGAGGCCTGAGGGGATAAAAAAAAGCACAAAAAATTCAGGATTAAATTGAGCTGGGAATTCTGTGAAACCCCCAAAAAAAAGTTTTGGGAAAACTGCAGGATTCTGTGTGCAAACCCTGGAAATGCTCAAATCACAAATCCTGGAGTGTTTAAAGCCAGGATTGGAGGGATCTGATTCACTGGGAGGTGTCAGGATTTAATTATTCCAAAGCATTTTTAATTCCTCATCCAACAGCACATTCCTGTTTAATTTTTATCTTAATGTTTAATTGAAAATGTTTAATTTTTAAACATTTATAATTCCTGCAT